AACCTAGAAATATATGCTGGCAAGCAGCCTGCAGGTCCGAAATTATCAACAAACCAGCAGATGTTGTGAAACGGCTAAGTTCTGTAATCTCAGGAACAGGTCGCAATATAACAATTGGATTACCTCGTTAGATTTAGCTAGCTTTTTGCTTCAGAATAATTGTACTTTGGTTGGAACCATGAGGAAGAATAAGAGTGAAATTTCTCTAGAGTTTATGCAAACAAAGAATCAGGAAGTAGGAACATCATTGTTTGGGTTTCAGAATGACTCAATTCTAATGTCTTATGTAACTAAGAAAAACAAGGTGGTTCTGATTCTCTGCACTATGCATCATGATGATGCAATTGATGAATCATCTGAAACAAATAAGCCACAGATGATAACCTTTTATAACGCAACTAAATCGGGAGTTGATACTGTTGACCAGTTGTGTAGCACTTATAATGTCGCTAGGAAAACGAACAGATGGCCTCTGGTCACATTTTATAGTATGATGAATGTAGCTGCTATAAATGCTCAAATAACATATCATGCAAATAATTTATCAATCAGCACCAAACGCAGTGAGATTTTAAAACTTTTGGCTCGTAATCTAGCTGATCATTCCTTGCGTAGACTTTCTCAGTGTTCATCATTACCTAGAAACCTCAAGCAGGATATTCAGAGCCTTTTCCCAGATGAGGGTACAGTTCAACTTGCAGAAGAGGCTCGAGCTAGTAAAAGGCAGAGATGTCATGAATGTGGCCGTTCCAAGAATAGGTACACTAAGTGCAAATGCCGCAGTTGTAAAACATTTCTATGTTTAGAACACGCTCAGCAAATATGCGCTGATTGCTAATTTGTGCAACTAACTAAATGAGATAATTTCATTTGTATTTGCTTAAGTTGAATAAAATTAAGTTTCACTGTAAACTGAAGTTTTGTTAATTTTTGTTTGTAATATGATGCCACAAATATGCATGTGTTACTTCAATAATTCCTTTGCATTCATAAATTTGAACTAAATGACCTAAATATATACTATTACAGCAAAAATATACCTCGAGTCTGTGAGATGCCGCACGACCTTTAACATAACAATATGCCACGTGAGCACTGCAGGGTGAATGAACTTCAGCCAGGTAATAAACTTTTGTTAGCAAAGGCTGCAGATTTGGCATTGTCTCTTAAAACATTTCATATTGCCTATAATTTGGATTTAACTATGGCTAAGTTAGATTATTAGTTTCATAAGTTATTACAGTAAAATATGTGTGAGCTATTTGGCTAGAGTAGAGAGAAGGGTACTTCTTATATTATCGCGAAGTTGTTTCATTTATGTAGCTTGAGTAGTTGAATGTTATGGAAACCCTAATATGATATAATCAGTTGCATGATTGCGGTAAATTCTTAAGGGCTTGTGGTGTGTGTTGGTTAGGAAGTATATTGCTTGTTTTGTGGTTTAGACGGTAAAATGGCTGAATTAATTTGAAGTTTCTGTACGATTTGGAAAGGAAGAGGAAAAGGGCATTATGTGACTTGTGTGTAAATGAAGGTTTGCTTAGTAGCCATTATTAAGTGTCCTGTTTGTAGAAAGGAAATGCGTATAGTCGAATGTCAGAAATGCATACAGTCAAACGTCATTATGGAGGATATTTTTTACTCTTATTTTGTGAATTTATGTGGTGATGCCAGTATACAGATTCTAGTTCAGATAATTTTATAAAGTTTTTGGATGCTGTTAAGGAATTTTGTTTGACTGAAGATGTGTTAATTCATAAATAAGGAAAGTGGATATTTCCTTTGTGTAGTGGAAAGATGAATTTCCTTTTTTAAGTTATTTCATTGTTTGATTTAAAAAGTATTATTTTATTGAGATTATATATTTTTTTGTTGGCTGCTCCTTTGACTTCTTAAGTGAATATACCTCAATGTGAACGTGGACAAAGTCTTGTGCAATTCTCTGATTTTTTTTAAGTGAAAAATGCATTCTTCCATGTCAGGTTTTTTTTTTTTTTTTTTTTTTTTTTTTCCTGTGTACAGTAAATTTCACCTAATCCCCAGAAGAAAAAGTTACATTGGATGAGATCAGGATGTCTTGCTGGCCATATATGTGGACATATTATCTTGATAATTGGATATTGCATAATTTGTAAAGTGTACGTACAAAATGAAAAGAAGCACTATCTTGCAGGCATTTTCTATACTCCTTGAATATCCTCCTGTCTAGGTATCGAAGTCTCACTGATTGGTTTAGTTGTGAATGATACTGGCTGCCATATCACTGGGCCCACATTTGAATCCCGGAGAAGGTATGGATGTTTGTAAGTGCATAATATTTGTGCGAAATGGGGATAGTTAAAATATGCCAAAAGTCCTCTCAAATAGTTTAATAGTAAGAAAAGATGGGTGGGAGATCCTTTGTTCTTTGGCTGGGCTGCATAAGAACTGGGGCAAAGCTGCACAGTAGTGAGGTGGGATACCTGTCTACAAATGAATTCTAAGAGCATCTGATCTGTTTTGAAACTTTATTCGAGATGTAAAATTGCTTTCAGTGAATATTCATATGCAGTAAAAATGAATAATTACAGACTCGGAAAAGAAAAAGGCCTATTCACAAAATCGTACCATTATGAAAAATACAATAATAAGTAACGTAACGGGACTGAGTTGGCATTTCATAGAGTTGTCTGTGAAAAATAAACACTTGAGCATCCTGAGGAAACTTTATCTGCATATAATTGCTGAAACTGATCTAAATTACTCTTGAAATCTAATCCTGATCAATTACATGATAATTTTCAAGTTCCAAAGAGGCAGTTTGGGATATTGAAAGATAAATTAGATCAGGATATAGAAGTACATCAAGAATGTACAAAAATAATTGAAGAACAGCTATAAGATAGAATTGTTGAAATGTATCAAAATGAAAATCTTGAATTTGGTCATTATATTCCCCACAGGGCAGTGGTGTGGCTGGATGAAGAAAGAATTGTTGAATAAAGATAAAATTGTTTTCAATGCTTCATTTAAAGGAGAAAATTCTAAATCCTTATAAAATTTGTTAGAAGTGTGATCTAATTTTAAATCCTAACATATTAGATATAATTCTTAAATTCCAAGAACACAGTATCATTTTTTCAGGATCAGACTGAGAAATGGATGTATTTATTCATTTTATATGTATGTGTGTATGCACATACACATTTACACGCATACACTTGTGCTTTCATACACACATTTCTGAATTCAGTTCCAATAACAGAAGAGTAGCAATTTATTTCTCGTGATAAGTATTACCTAGAGAGAATCATAAATGTTAAAAAAAGTATCATTATAAAATATATCAGAAAAGAACCTGAAAATTATGAAACATTGAATTCATCTTTATATGTTGATGATTTATATTTTGGTTCAGGTGCAGTAGAAAATGCATATTGTCTGTCATCTGATAAGGTAACTATTTTAAAGCATGCCTGTTTGAATTCACATAAATTTAATTCAGATTCTACGGAGTTAAAAAAATGTGCTTAAAAATGTCTTATCAATGAATAATGTTCTTGTTCAAGGTAAGGTTTTAGACCTTCACTGAGATACAGAAAATGACACTGTCAAACTAAAGGTAAAATGGTACTTTTCCGTTTCGCCGGCGCAAATCTCGCCAAGCAGACTTTATTGGCGACAACATACAGTATACACATAAAAAATATTTAAAAAAATGTTAGTTTTAAGAATTCTTTTTTTAAAGGCATAAACATTTTAATATCGCTTAAAATTTTTTAAAAAACCGATAAATAAAGACAATAAATTTGTAAAAAGACATTAATTTAGGAATTTACTACGCTTTCATGGTTCAGCATCCTGATTCGCCAGTTCATATCACGTAACCCCAAGCGATCTCATCTCACGTAAACTACTCTCTACAAAAATCTAATGCTCTCAGTAATTACCTACATTAATTTCAAGTTAAATCTTAATTTGGAACACAAGTTTAAATGCAAGAAATATTTCAATTCGTACGAATAGCTTACTCAGAAATTATGTAAAACTGCAGTACTTCTTCGCTAATGCATTCTTATTAGAATTGATGAATTTAACTCTTGACTTTACCTTTCTATATTTTCGGCTTCGGGTAAGCACTGTGATTGCATCCTAATTGACTTAATTACCGAAAATGGCCTTGGACATAAAACTGAACTATCTGATAAAAATTCTATGTAATTATATGTCAGTATTGAAAGAAACAATCAATCTGATAAGAAAAAGCTGCGACTTGTTTTGAAAATGAGGCGTAAAAGGTTACCAGCGAGAATATTCCGTTTGGCATCGGTTGCACCATTATTAGCGACTTTATCGCTTGCGCCGGCAAAACGGAAAAGTACCGGTAAAATTTTGATGTCCCGCCTACTTCTACTACATCAGTTTGGATGTTGAGTGAAGACTTCTGCAAGTATCTCCTTCAGATTCTGCAGTCATGAGTTTGGCAGGATGATTCTTGATATTCTTAACATAAGTTCATCTGTGAAGTCCCCTGAATGCAGTGTCATCATCTCTGTACCTTCATGAAAAACTTAAACACTTCATAATGGATGCAGTCTTGATACTGTTTTACTACATCAAATATTGGGTCATTATGAGCTGCTCATATCACTCTAAACCAATTGCTTTTTTCAGAGTACAAAGAATATTATTCCTTTATTTTAAGGTGAATTTACATATTCAGTTCTTGCAGTTGAGTTTCTAGGTCAGGTCCATCGTCAGAATCAGAATGTCCGTTTTCCGTAACATTCATAGGATCATCAGGGAAGTCATCTGTAGGCACACTCAAATTGGAAAAGCATTTTTGTTTGGCAGAAGAGCATCGCAAATCGACTTAGGATCATGAGAGCAACGATAGAGCGACCTTCACCCATGAGGGCTGAAGGCAGAATACTAAGTAAACCTTCATTTACACACAGTCAATTAATTACTTTCAGCCAGTTTACCATATAAACCACAAAATAAGCATTGTACTTCCTAACCAACATCCAACACATACTAGTCCTTAAAAATCTTTTCCCATCATTCAAATTCACCACAATTGAGCAACAAATTATGTCATAATATGGTTTCCATAACATTTAACTACTCAAGTTACCATAAATGAAACAGCGACTTCGAGATAATCCAAAGGGCACCCTTCAATATACTCTAACGAAAGCCAGTGAAGGGCACCTTGATATAATGAAGTTTAACCTCATGGATCCCAGATGAAGTAGTCTTCTCGAATGATGTAAACCCAGATTTTCTTGGCCGTATTTGATTTCCTGTTTGCAAAATGAGTTAGTAGTGGGCAATCATATTCTCCTGCCATTTTGTCCCATATTTTGTTTGTGTTCATTTATTCATGATTGAAACTATTATTTCTTGAATTGGGCTTATGTCACTTTGATATATTATATTTTTCCTTCTGAATTCTTTTCTTTACTTCTAGGTGTACTTAAACATAAAAATGGAAATCTCTTGAAACCTTTAGCACAAGGAGATGCAAGAGCTAGTAGAGAATTATCATTTTATGAGAATGTTTATAGAAATTGTGATCATGACTCTGATTTAAATGAACTAGTGAAGTATTTACCTGCATTTCATGGTACATTGGAAACAAAAGGTAGTAGCAAGTATGGAAATGTAATGTGTTTTTGTAATGAACATATTAAAGTAACATTTTAATTTTTGCTATTATCTCTGTTATGCAAAATGATGTAGAACTATTAGAAATATTGATCAAAGTATTTCACTGATAAGTTAAGACTTCAAATTTAGTTGCCATTGATAAAAAATATGGCTAATCTTTACTGTACAGTACCTCTTGGTTTTTTTTCTGAAAATTCGCCAAGCAGTATTGGTTGTTTGTGAAATCTGGAATTCCGCTGCACTTTTTTGTAATAGTAACCCTTTTGTATGGACCCAGGTTTTTGGTTCTTACTATTCTTTTCAGTTGCTGTGTGTGCTTGCATGTGCGTGGTATTTGAACTTGCTATTATTTTGCTGGATTATGATGAAATTGTGAATTTGAGGTTTTTTATGGGTTGAATGATGGACAAATGACTTTTAATTTTTGCATGAAAGCTGGTTTAATTGCTGATAGATATGAATGAGCCGAAACGACGAAAAATTAAATTGAATTGCTTACCTGGAAGATGGAGAAGATGGTGGTGGGAAGTCTAAACATATGCACGGGAAAAAAAAAAGGTATGTTAAAAAATTGATGTTTCATTTATTTATTCACCTGTGTGTGTTAATTTTTGTTAAAAGATTTGTTGTTGAATGTTTTTATGTTAGGAAATATGTATTTTTGGTTATTTATTCCTCTCTGTGTATTTTTGTTCATCTCTGTGTGTTAAGACAGCGGCGAATTTTTTCTGGTTACCATCATAGTTTTAGCTTTCTGATTTTAAGTGAAAACACATTGATGTGTACATGGACAAAGGCAGTGTGCAATGCCTAGATTGGGCAATTCTCTGATGTTTTTTTAAGTGAAAATAAGTCGATGTGTACATGAACACTAAGTTTGTGTAAGTCTGATTTCTTATTTTGTTTTTATGTAGTGGCCATCTTGAAATTGCCGCCAATCTTGGCATAAAAAAAGAAACAATTCACCAAGGGGTACCGTAGAGCAAATTTTTACCGAAAATACTAATATTTTTTTTTTCTGATAGTTTTAATTTTTTTTTAATTATTGTACTGGAAAAGTAAATGCATCTTATCCAATATAAGATGTGCCAAACTCTTTTCTAAAGAAAGATGCACATGCTATCGTTGCATATTGGCCACCATTAAATTAAAGGAACTGTGATATCTTGTTATAGTATTCTGGTCTTCTGTCTAAGTACTGTTAATAAAAACTTTCTTAAATATTTTATTCTATTTTGTTCTTTGCTTGTTGAAATAATTGACCTAAAAGATATATTTCTTTGTGTTTAGTAAAATTTTACCACAATTGAAATTGCCGATGACGAAAGTATATTTTTTCTCTGAAAGTGTCAAATTCAAAAATTGGTACCTTGTCATCGGTAGACTAAAAAAACTAGCTATTTCCCAACCATTTTTACTAACAATACTTCCCAACAAAATTTTATCTATCATTTAAACATATTAAATGTTCCCTGAACGTGTCCCATATTTGAATGTAATTAGTTGTTCATTCATGCTGAATGAGATCATGTTACTTGAGCTATATTCATAAATCAGACTAACAAGTTTTCATTGATGTGCAAACTTGGAGCATTTCTACCTGTTTTAAGTGGAGTTGTTCAGATCGCATTAAGTCCATAAGAAGGAGACAACAGCTAGCTTCCGACTGTTTCTTCCATTGGAAAAGCATATCAATAACTAGTGGCAATTTACACATAAGAAATAACAAAGATAAGAAAAGTGTATTTAGTTTAACTGTGGCCAATAGGCAACATTGGTGCCTAGCTTCCCCCCATCCCATTAAAGCCCTCCATTTGCATTTCTTATATTTTGCCATATTTCCTTGGTGCCAAGTGTCACCAGTTTGGTTTGGCTTTCATGGTAATAATTACCTTTATAACAATCATCTACACAGGCATATTTTTTTATCTAATTATAGTTGTTTTTTGCATTTGAATTTACTATTTGGAACATTCCACAATTCCAAATTCTTATCATCTCATTGATAAGAATAATAAATGACATACTAATGCCAGGTCTGTTGTGTGCTTGTGGAGTACTGCAAAATGGTACATTAAATATCAAGAAGGGTGGGGGCTTTCCATCAATGTTTAAACTCTGATTTCATTTATTTTGTGAATATATCTATTATTATTTTTGTATTTCATATATTTATATTGTGTTGATATGTTCCAAAGAAGAAATGCTCCCTGGTATACTAAATACCGTTTTTTATTTTATACTTGCTGTTTAATCTTATATGATTCTTTTTTTAATGCAGTGTTTAATAATTACTGTTACTTTACTGTTTATTTTAGTTTTGCATATTTTATTTAGTCATTTAAGAAGCAATAATTATAACTACTTTTTTCTCTATATTTTTCTTTCTAATTCTTTCTTCTTTTCCCTCTTCCCTCCCCCTAAAAAAGAGAGCTTAGGAATGCAATTAAACAGAATTAAGGGAAAAAATTACCAACAGAAGAGGAGGGCAAACTTCAAGAAATAAAATGACAAAGCTCTGACATGGTTGCCAACACTCCGGGTTTTACCCTGAAACTCCCAGTTTTTATTCATGACATCTGGTCTCTCAGTTTTTAATTTTTAGCATGTACTAAGTAAAGTGTTTTTCAGTGTTGAAATAATTTAACTTAAAATGTGCAAATTCTATTCATTCCCCCTTAGTGATTTTCAGCAGAGTTTTTATTCTTAAATTTTATGATCTGAATTGTGTTAATGCACTGTATTTTGTAGAACATTTGTAGAGCTGTGTAGACATTTTTTTTAACTGTATATGAAAATTCAATGATGTTTAATTAGATAATTTTTTCATTAATTTTGTTTTACATCAATATATTGTACATTACTAGGTTTATCCACACAATAATGTGTACATTAATTGCTAATTTTATTTTCATCATGCTTAAAAGTACTCTAATGAATTAAAGTTTCCTACCCAATTCAGGATTACAAAATGAAATTAACCTAAGTACATAAAATTTAGAACATCTAATTAAATATTGATATATTTTACATCAGAATCATATAATAAATAGTTGAATAATTTGAATCATGCATTTTAAAATGAATTTAAGTTAATTTCAATTTTTTTTGGGGGGGGAACAGTGCTGTTGCACAGCATGTAAACTTCTCCGAAATTCTCAGTTTTTAACAAAAGAACCTCTCAATTTTTCATTTTCAAAATTAGCAACTATGTTATGTAAAAATACATCTAGTGTCAAGCCAAAATGCACCAGTAATAGCCTCTGCAATCCCAAGTTTTTTTATGATTATTTATTTATTTACATTCAGAAATGAAAATTATGTTTGAAAATTCTTATAAAATGCTTCCTTTTATTATTGTTTATGAACAAAAGAACATATAAGTTGTAAAGGCAACCAAACAAATGATTTTTTTGCTAATTCACGGAGTCGCTAATGAGTTGGAAACTTTTTGAGTAATTAAAAATTATCTATGATTTTATTTTTTTATTTTTACATTTTTTCAACTCTGTTCTTACGAATAAAATTATTAAATAATTTTTCATAAAATTTTGTTGTTATGCCTATTTTTGTAACTAAGTCTTGTACACATTTCTGTGCTGTTAATTTTCAAGAATTTTATTTTCTTCTGCATAGATATGACATACTTATGCCTAGAAGACGTTTGTCAAAATTTCCAGAAGCCATCAGTGCTAGATATTAAAATAGGTCTTGTGACCCACGATCCAACTGCTACAAACGAAAAAGTTCGTTTAGAAAAAGAAAAATATCCACCTGCAAAAATTTTAGGATTTCGAATTCTAGGAATGAAAGTAAAATATTTTTTTTTCTTTCAATCTCTAGATATATATTTTTTTTTAATTGTGCCTTAAAATAATGTATCAAAAAAGTTTAATAGTTTTCAAGCACTATCAATTCTATGTTTTTCAAATGTGAGTAGGCTTTATGAGACTAGAGAAAATAATGAAAGTATGTGTTCTTATAACGAAAATCTTAATAACATGTTTACAAATTTGTGATTTATTTTGTGTGATATTTTAATATATAAATGAGGTAGGAAATCAGCTTCTGTTACTTGTGATCAAAATTTTAAAAACATACAGTGCATTTACAATTTTTTTTTTGGGGGGGGGGGTTGAATTTATAAAAATTTTGAGATTTGGTAGAAGAGACTTAAGTGTTAGTCTTTACACAGATATTTCTGCTTGTACTATGTAATTCTCAGCATTTTCATAAAGTTTCTGGATCCATTTATAGAACCATTTGTTTGAGTATTCTTTAATTTATTCAGCTTTTCTTTGAATTTTTGCTGTAATCTGAAAATAGTGTTCTTTAATGTAAATTTGACTTTAATATAGAAATATGGTTGTGTCTTTGCATAACAAATGAACACATAGAATAAATAATAACACACATGACAAGCTGAGTCCAGTATGCCTATACATCTTTTAACATTGTTTAAACACAGAAAAATATTTTGTGCAGAAGAACAGGCAAATAAAGGTATTTTTTAATATTCTTTTATCTTTTAACAATTGGAAGTTCACTGTAACAAGGACTCAAGTAAATCCAGAAGAAACGTTCTTCTTGTAAGGTGGAGGAAAGCACAATGGATTCATGCCCAAATGCAACTATGAAAGACCATCTAAAGAAGTGGTTAGAAGTTAAACTGATTCTACATTTATTAAAGCAAAAATTATTTTAATTTAAAACAGGAATAAGTCCAGGTCATAGCCTATCAGCAACATCCTAATAAGCTGAGATAAACAGAGTGGCTATCTGTTCAGTGACATTGTTATCGATTCCTTCAAGCCTATCATGAAGAGGATGGAGCGAATTTTGCATAACTTCATGAACCCTGAGTCTTCTGAGGAGGTAAAGGACATAAAATTAGTAACAGAACAACCTCAGTCGATTTGAGGGCAAACAGGTACAGGTCCATCTTCATCAAGAGCAAAGAAATCTGCCAGACTGGAAAGCAGTGGGCATTATAGTCATATATATGCTCTACAGTTAAGCTGCACAAGAAGGCCGCCTCATCTCTCAGCAAAAATATTAATGAAATTCAAAAATTAAGTGAATAGCATTTTAAAAGTATTAGGAAGGACTGGATTGGACTTATTAACCAAACAAGATAAATCTTTGTGAATGTGAAAAGCCTCAAGAAAATCCAATTCAGCAACTGAAGAAACTTTCTGAATGGTTTTTGCAGACCCAATGTCAAAATTATGTTTAAATTTCGAACAATGATTAGCTTTAGGAGATTTGTTAATTTCGCTTTTTTGGACATAGGACTCGTGTTCTTTGATACGAAAATTTAACCCTTTTTTTATTTTGGCCCAATGTATACTTACATGATATACTATAAATTCCCCCAATACTTTAAGAGTTGAACCATGAAATTTATTGATAGATAAGAAAATACCTGAAAATTGGAACTTCTTAAGAATCCGTGCAATTTTATAACTGACGGAAGGATTTAATGGAAGCACGACAGGATTATTAATGTTATTTCTAATAGGGGAATGTGTTCTTTCATGGCACTTTTTAAAGGCTTTATCAATTTTCATGGAAGAAAATCCTTGATCACTGACAACTAATCTCAAATAATTGAGTTCATTAGTAAGCAGAGGCTCTTAGAAACAAACTTTGAGAGCATGAAATACATAATAGTAAAAAGAAGCCAATTTTTGCTTAGCCAGGTAACATGACTGAGCATGGGGCAGTAAACAAACAGAAAAGGGTTTACAGTAAATAGTAATACTGAAATCAGATTCATTGCAAATTATAAGAAAATCAAGGAATCTGATTCAGTTTCAATGAACTGGATGTCTAGATCAATCGAATTCATAATAGATAAAATTTGGGATAAATCTTCTTGATTCCCATCAAAAAGTGCATAAATATCATCTATGCAGTGAATCCAGAGACAAAAAGAAAGTTGAAGTCAAATTATCAAATAATTTGACCTCAAAATAGTGCATGTAAATGTCAGCAAGTACAGGACTGAGGCGATTACCCATAACTAATCCTACAATTTATCAATAATATTCATTTTGGTAAACAAAGTATGTTTGACTCATAGAGATTTTAGTAAGAGAAATTAACTCTTCAATTTCAGTATGTGTTAAATGGAATTCTCAAAGCATAATTTCAAGGCAGTTTAGGGTTCCCTTTAACTGGAACATTAGCAAACATTGATTTCACATCCAAAGAAACCATAATGGAACACAGGGAAGAAAAATCTTTGTTTGTCAGCTACTTAAAAAGAATTTCTTAGAGTGTGAATATTGATAGAAAGTAAAGGAGAAAATCTGGAAACTAAATACTTGGGCTAAAGATATGATGCTGTTCCTAATTTGGAAACTATGGGTCAAAATGGAATTTTGTAAGATGAGGAGTTGAAGAATCTTTAGGGAAGTAGTATGGGCCTTCATTTATCAGTTTTGAGATTACTTCAACATATATATGTTTGCCCATAATAATGATCTGTCCGCCCTTATCAGCTTTGGAAATTATAATACTAGTATTAAAATGAATTTCACATAAGGCCTCTCTTTCCTTTTGGTTAAATTTGAAACAAATCTGCTATTAGACTAGAAGAGAAACACGCTAATATGACAATCAAAATCGTAAAAAACAACCTTATATTTAGCGTAGGTATAATGAAATACTCAATCGATTTCGAGGGCAGCTAAAGGTCCCTCCTCATCAGGAGAAAGAAATACATAGAAAGAAGAAAATAGGAATCACAGAAACACGTGGTGCTTATCAGCACTGCACGTGGTTATAACTAGATTTTTAATCAGAGTTGCACTGGCCGCCTACTTTTACTGAGCCAGGCTGTCTGATCAAGCATAAAGGAATATTAGCGAAGTTAAAATAGGGAGCGAGGGCAAATGCACATTACGCTCAAAATCTGAACTTCAAATAATGGAAAGCAACCACTGAACGGATTTTTATACCCTCTGGTAGTACCAAGTGCGAGGAGGTAACGCCATCTATCGGCAAAAATAATTGAATTAAGACAGTAGAATTTTAAAGGCATTAGGAAGGACTGGATTGGACTTCAAATCATTAACTAAACTTTCTAAATCTTTGTGAATGTGAAAAGCCTCAAGAAAATCCAATTCGCCTATGGAAGAAGCCTTTTGGATGATTTTTGCAGACCCAAAATCAAAATTATGGTTAAAAGTCCAGCTATGATACGCTATTGAAGACTTGTTAATTTCCCCTTTTTTGACATAAGATTCATGTTCCTTGATACGAAACTTCAACGCTCTTTTTGTTTGGCCAATATATCTTAAACCACACTGACATGATATACTATAAATTCCCCAAGAATTCAAGACAGAACCGCAATCTTTTAGAATCGAAAGGGTGAATTTTATTAATAGGGGAGAAACCGACTTGAAAATTGAATTTCTGGAGAATCCGTGCAATTTTATAGCTAACAGAAGGATAAATGAATGGAAGCACGACAAGGTCATTGATATTATTTCTAACACAGTAGAATGTCCTTCTTTGATGGGAATCTGAAAATTTTTTGACGGCTTTATCAATAATCACGGGAGAAAATCCACGGTCAATCGCAACTGCTCTCAAATAATTAAGTTCATTGGTAAGCAAAGATTCAGAGGAACAAACTTTTAGCGCGCGGAAAACATAATAGTAAAAAGAAGCCATTTTTTGCTTAACAGGGTGGCATGACTTGGCATGGGGTGGTAAACAAACTGCAAAGGGTTTACGGTACACAGTGGTGCTAAAATCGGTTTCATTGCGGATTATAAGAATATCGAGGAAGGGGAGGGAATTGTTGGATTCAACTTCAAGAGTGAATTGGATGGCTGGATCAATTGAATTCATAATAGATAAATCCTCGTTATAACCGTCAAAAAGTGCGAAAGTGTCGTCATTATAAATTATCTTTTCGTCTTTGGATTCGGTATGTTGACGACACTTTCGCACTTTTTGACGGTTATAAAGAGGATTTATCCGAGATTCTATCTATTATGAATTCAATTGATCCAGCCATCCAATTCACTCTTGAAATTGAATCCAACAATTCCCTCCCCTTCCTCGATATTCTTATAATCCGCAATGAAACCGATTTTAGCACCACTGTGTACCGTAAACCCTTTGCAGTTTGTTTACCACCCCATGCCAAGTCATGCCACCCTGTTAAGCAAAAAATGGCTTCTTTTTACTATTATGTTTTCCGCGCGCTAAAAGTTTGTTCCTCTGAATCTTTGCTTACCAAATGAACTTAATTATTTGAGAGCAGTTGCGATTGACCGTGGATTTTCTCCCGTGATTATTGATTAAAGCCGTCAAAAAATTTTCAGATTCCCATCAAAGAAGACATTCTACTGTTAGAAATAATATCAATGACCTTGTCGTGCTTCCATTTTATCCTTCTGTTAGCTATAAAATTGCACGGATTCTCCAGAAATTCAATTTTCAAGTCGGTTTCTCCCCTATTAATAAAATTCACCCTTCGATTCTAAAAGATTGCGGTTCTGTCTTGAATTCTTGGGGAATTTATAGTATATCATGTCAGTGTGGTTTAAGATATATTGGCCAAACAAAAAGAGCGTTGAAGTTTCGTATCAAGGAACATGAATCTTATGTCAAAAAAGGGGAAATTAACAAGTCTTCAATAGCGTATCATAGCTGGACTTTTAACCATAATTTTGATTTTGGGTCTGCAAAAATCATCCAAAAGGCTTCTTCCATAGGCGAATTGGATTTTCTTGAGGCTTTTCACATTCACAAAGATTTAGAAAGGTTTAGTTAATGATTTGAAGTCCAATCCCGTCCTTCCTAATGCCTTTAAAATTCTACTGTCTTAATTCAATTATTTTTGCCGATAGATGGCGTTACCTCCTCGCACTTGGTACTACCAGAGGGGGTATAAAAATCCGTTCAGTGGTTGCTTTCCATTATTTGAAGTTCAGATTTTGAGCGTAATGTGCATTTGCCCCTCGCTCCCTATTTTAACTTCGCTAATATTCCTTTATGCTTGATCAGACAGCCTGGCTCAGTAAAAGTAGGCGGCCAGTGCAACTCTGATTAAAAATCTAGTTATAACCACATGCAGTGCTGATAAGCACCACGTGTTTCTGTGATTCCTATTTTCTTCTTTCTATGTATTTCTTTCTCCTGATGAGGAGGGACCTTTAGCTGCCCTCGAAATCGATTGAGTATTTCATTATACCTACGCTAAATATAAGGTTGTTTTTTACGATTTTGAAATCTGCTATTGTTAAAATCCACGTTGCGTGTAACTAAATGTCGGAATGTGTCCTGCATTTCTGAAATTTTAGGGAATTTAAAAGCTTTTTCAATAGGGTCGATAATTTGGGGAAGCTGGGACTGGTCGTTTGAGGTGTAAGCTTTTGAAATTTAGAAACAAGAACTTTTTTATGGTGTTAACAAGCAGTATTGGTTCTAGACGAAGACTTATGATTGAAAGAGGAAAATTTTATGGTAGTTGTAGGAGGATTGGTAATTTTTAAATGAAGGTATCATAATTCATATTCAGTTTTAGACAAACGTGTGTTTCATGTGACGAAGAAGTGGCAACTTGAATTTATGCATAATTTTTTAAATCTGAACAGAAGATTCAAAACTACATTTGAGTTCTATAAGTCTGGGAATGACATTGTGGTGTTTGCATTTAATCAAAAACTGGAGATGGTTCAAGAATTTCATGTGCTTAAGGAGTAACTTAAAAAATTGGTTACTGTCTGTTGACATGATGCTAAAGGGGAACAAACACAAAAAAATTGGAGTAAAAAAAATAAATACAATTAGAAAAGCTCAATACAGTAAAAAAATGCACTAAAATATGATAAAAATGGACCAAGAGAATATAGACAAAAAAAAAAAAAAAAACTATACACAAAATAAATAGAAACTTATCCACATCCAAAAAGGAGAGAATGAAGAAAAGTGGAGAAATAATATATGAGAATAATATAGCAGTTTTCCATTGTGCTGGCAATCATTAATTTATTAAAGGGTAGTGAAATCTTTAGTAGTTTTAAATACAGAAAACATCATTACCAGTAGTGAGAAAATGACAAATAGGTTTAAAAATGAAAAAATTTTGGCATACAATTTAGTGTGAATTCTTGACTTAAAAATTATTGGATTTGAACTATTGAACTTTGTAACTGAACAAGAAATTAGATCTGACCTGTCTATAAAATTAAAGAAAATATATTAGTGCACACACACACACATACAAAAAATAAAAGAACTTAAAGAAATGTTAAATAAATAAATATTGAACCCCCCTTTTTGTAAATTTTGATTCTCTTAAGTCATAAGTGCTTCATTATTTCTTAACAACAATTATTTAACAACAATTTATAATTTCTACATGTCATCTTATTAGATTTAAATTTTGTAATCTACAATTCATCTTACTAGATATGAAATTGCCAAAGTCCTGGCAATTCTAAGTCTTGGACTTTGTATTGTGTGTTATATATGAATCTTATATAAATTGAAATAAAATTCATAGTTTTAAGAACCTATTTCTGTTTTGAAATATGAATTTGTATTATATAAACAAAAAAGAAATTTTTTTTAATGTTTTTGTATGTGTGTATGCAATGCATATTTGTGTGAATTTTTATCCATGTGGGTAATTTTTGTGTAGGCAGTCGTGACTGCAGAGTTTCTTTTTTGCGGTTCATTATATAGACTTTTATTTTCTCATTGAAAAAACTATATATGATGGTGATGAAAAATTAATAGCATTTTTGATTTAATTCATGAAAGAATGCTCATATTAGAAATTTAATTTCATTCTTGATGAAGAAAAGTTTTTTTTTCCCATTGACAAGTAATGCTTTATAATATTAACATATTTTAGGTTTATCTTGATACAGAAAACACATATATTTCTAAGGATAAAATATTTGGCAGGCAGCTGGCTCCTGAGGACATTATTTCTGGTAAATTATTGTTTTTGTATTCCTATAATATGAATAATTAAGTTATAATTTTATAACAATAAGTTTATTACCAGTGATCTCATGTGGTATATAGTTGTTACGGTGAAAGACCGAAATCTGGAGAAAGTCGACTTTCACCAGTGAATGTCAACATTCACATAGTCTCTTGGTGTATGTCCGAAATATTTTCCAAATACTCTTATTTCTGACTTACACCGGTCAATGTCGACATTCACCATGTACTAATGGTGAATGTTGAACATATAGCAATATTATATTTTCTTTACCGTAATTCATTTGCAAATAAACGCACTTGAGACTTGAAATAAGAACTTAAAAACATGAGAACCTAAAACGCACAATACGTTCAAAATAAAGGAAAATAATTAGAAGTTAAAAACTTACTTAAATTTACAGTACTTTTGAATGAGAAAAAAAATAACAGTAATAAAAACTTATAATATGTGATTCAAATCTTATTTATTGCAACAACTTAAACTATTATGGCACTTTATGACTCTCTTTTCGACTTACACAGAGCATATCTGTGATTGTCGACAACACCAGTGAGGGTCCAATATACAAGAATGTAGTGCAATATTCGATCTTTCACCAACATATTTGGTGAATGTTAACATTCTCCGGTGAAAGTCGACATTCTCCAACTTTGGTCTTTCACGGTAACATAGTTACTGCACTCTTTCAAAATACTTTATTGAATATCTGCACTATGTTGAATCTTTATGGTACAGTTAACTTTCTATCAGTGGCAATATCCGATTTTGTTATTGTTTAAATTCTACATCAATTGTGTTTTATTAGCTCTCTGTGTTTATGATTTTTATATATAAATATTAAGTTTAATGCACTGAAATATGTGAGCTGTATTTAAAATAAACAGATGCTTACATAGTTCTAGTTGTTCATCAGTCAACATATGTAGATTTATGTCTCAACAATAAAGAAATGTTATAAAAAAACTATTTTAAAAAGCCTTTCATCATTGTTTAACTGCTTTAAGTCATGAAGAGTTGTCAAATTTAATTTCCCTGAAAGCTTAATCTTTTCGGGATCCAGTTTAGACAATTATTCTATATTTTTCCCTTCTTTGTGAAATAACACCCCTCTAGGGATGAGTTCAGTTGCTAAGACTATTATTGCAGATAGGAAGTGGTTTCTTAAATGATGGAGAAACTAGATACGAGAACCATTCTTTTTTTTAGGTGCTTTAAAGGTATGCCAGGACAGGACCAAACTGAAAATATTGATATTTGTTGACTGATAGACTAATACGGTAATGTTGGCTGAAGAAGAGTGATGAAAAAGTGGTGATATATGGTGTCTCCACTTCAAGTTAGTTTTGTTTTAGTGAAGACACTGTTAGCATTGAAATATATTTTCAAAAATATATCATTTTAAAATCAAAATGCATTAAGCACCAAATTTAGATCGTTTATTATCAAAAAAAATTTTTTTTGCTGTTAATAAGTTGTAATACTTCCAACATAATGCCTCCACAGCCAGTTAAGTTATGAATTTTTAATTTAAAAAGCAGTTCCATCATTAAGAGCAAACTGTTCCAGCATATTTTAGAATATAGCATTAGCGTTTTTTTTTTTTTTTTTTTTTTTTTTTTTTTTTCAATAAGTATATATTTTGATGAAATGGCATTTTTAGTTGGAGTATGTTTAGATATCGTAATAATTTTTCAAATTTTCTTAATTAGGAAGCAATCCTTTGTTAATTAATATTTCAACCTTGTTACTATCCTTGTTCATATTTAAATAAGGTACAAGAATATTATTATTTTCTTTCTTATCTTTCTTCGAAAGTAGAATCAGAAGTTTCTAAATCCAGAGTATTTGCTTTTCCTGCTCTAAATTTTTTTGATATAATATATTGATTACCCCAAGTTGAATTCCATGAGCATTTTTATTATTTTGATACACTTTCGGTCTTCAGCTTTGGTGCTCGTAGCTTGTTCGTAATGAGCAGCAACACCAAAGAGTTCCTGCCTTAAGGCAACTGCCTAAGGCAGACTACTGTGTGAATGAGAGCATCACTACAGAGATCGATGCTAACTGTGAGACTTCCTTTGGAGTTGTCAATACTGCTAAGGCTTTTGAGACTAATACCCAAGAATATATGATGGAAAGATTTTAAGATCTGGATACATAGACTGAAGCTTCCAACATGCATCTTAAATTATATCAACAGAGACAATGAGCCGCAGACAAGGATTCAGCTACCAAACCAACAGTCAAACTGATCCAGGAAGGCATGAAGCAAATATTCTGAGAGGTAAGTGTAATTTGACTTGCTCTTCAGGCATTGTTTTACCCAAAGGTAAAGTAGATGAAGAGAATTCTAGTGTAGATAGTGATTGATTTAAAATTGCAAAACAGATTAAAATTGATAATTCAGCCAATAGAAACTGTTAATCAATTTAATGTACTGAATGCAGAAAATGTAGATGCTAAGAATAATGAAACCCCAGAGGTTCAAGTTATACAGCAGCAATCAAGTACTTGTCCTCCCCAGGCTATTCCTCCAGTCGTGGTTAACCTGGGTAATCTCTCACGTGAAGAATTCTTGATAAAGCGGGCTAATACTACTGAAGCTAAGTTCCTTAGGAAACTAAATGGAGAACTTCTAAAAATCCTACCACATGCTGAAAACAACCGTCATACCTCAAGTGCCCTTTTCAGAAAACATAATATTGAACACTATGTTTTGAAGGCTAAATATGCCCGTCCTATTAAGGTCGTGATTCGTGTCTTGGCCACTAGTATTAAAAAAGAAAATATCATTGATACACTGACTCAACGAAGTTTTTCTGTCAGCAAACTTGCAACTGATGAGAAGATAGACTAAGGTTCCAATGCCATTATTCATGACTGATCTTGTTAGAAATGAGAATACTGATAAAATATACAAACTAAAAAATGTATTATTTTTTTCGGTTTTGGCTGAAAAATATGTGTCCAAGAATCGGGTGCCAGAGTGCTATAATTGCTAACAATGGCACCATTTGTCAGACAACTGCTATTTCCAACCACAATGTATTAAGTGCTCACTCCTACATAAAATGACAGATTGTTCCCATAAAGGAAGGATCAGTGAACCAAAGTGCAGTACTATCAGGGTCCTCGTTGCTTCTTACTGTGAGTGTGTGAAGTGCCCCAAAAATAAACCCATCCAAAGCAAAAATACCAATACAGTTAGACCAGGCATATCACACTCTTGAAATGGCCAAAAAGCAGAATGCCAACTCTAATTCTAGCTCCGTTGAAAATTTCTTGACTTGGCTACTGCTGTATCTGCTCATCAGGACAATAAGTCTAAAAAATTATAGTAATTCATTAAAAAGTATTCCTTGTGTTAGCAGTTCAAATTCAAATAGCAAAAATCAACTCTCTGAATTTTTAACTCTACTTAAATACAGGACCGAACTTAAATTTTTGGATAAAATAAAATAGCAGTCATAAATAATGTTTTTAAAACACCTGCATTAACTGTAAATATTTTTCTTGGACTATCTAAATTTTTGCTTTAGTTTTCCTGCCCTTATTTTTATCACTCCATTTCTCTCAAAAATTATTTGCCCAGTCCTTTTCCCATTATTCGGCCAGTTTTTCTAAAATTGTATGGTATCTGATTAGAGTCCCACCCCCTAACCAATGCCTGAAGTGCTTGTCCTTATACTTCTCTTTGTAGCCATTCCTGTTACTTCAAGCCTGCATGTGACCGCTAACCAAACCTCCCTACACTCTTGGTTCCACCACCTCCAAGCCACGATCTTCAGTTTAGCACTGAACGACTGTTACAATGTACAATTGCCACTATGCTCTTTCTTTGGACTGTTTACACTCCTGCATTATTCTCTATTGCTAATTACTATTGATACACTAGAATTTTTCTGACAAATACTGGACTGAAATGCAATTGCTTCAGTTTTCAACTACTGGTTGTTCCTCTTGAAAGTATATCGTCGATTTAACTGACTGCTTGGCTAGGGAATGGCTTAGGCTTTTCTCCCACTCCTTCAGCTTCACCTATGTTAGTAATAGGAAAAGCTGTGTTGTTCCACACGGGATATGGCACTTGCTCAGGAACCAGACCTCTGTGTGTTCATTTCATAAGCATAGCATAATTGCTGATTTCCATCAATGAACTTCCCAGCTTTTTTTCGTCAGTAGTTTTGCTGACAATATCACCTTTCAGATGTAATCCATGTTCCTAAGTTTGCAGTTAACTAATTCTATACATATTGTAGGTAGCATACTTCCTAAAATATGTGCAGATCCTATTTTCTTTTCTGAATTAATATTTATTGCAGATCCTATGTTCCAAATTTTCTTTTCTGAATTTATATTTAAGTAATGTCTATTTCTTACACTTATCCATTTATTAAATGTGAGATTAAATTTTGTACCATTTAAATTTTAATTCTGTTAATTCCTTTTTGTTTTCATAAAATTGTTAATATAGTTTATAACAGTTCTTATAGTATTAACAAATTTTGGTATATTTTGGAAACCTCTTGCAATTAATGTCTTTCTTAATTCAATTGAACTACAAAAGACTCACACGCAAACTTGAATTCTGGATAAAAACTTTATTGAAACATTAATTTTTTTCAATTGAAAAAATCCGTAATTTGTTACGTAATATTATGTAAGTTGGTTTAGTAATATTATTTTTAGATGAGTTAGAATTTGCCTTGGATACTTTTCTTTTCAATAAATAACTGTTATAATATATTTTTAAATGTTCATGTAGTTCACTTGTACTTAAAAACTTTAATAATCCTTGTATATGTTTTGCATCTTGCCAACACATTTTTTTCATCATATAAATAGTAAAACCTAACTGAAGTACACTCATTGCCATAAAAATTTGCACACCTAGAAAGAGTTGTCAGAATGAAACAAAATTTTACGTATGTAAGTACTACTTTAATATAAGTTAGTGATTAGAAAATCAAAGAAAAGAGGATAATTTATTGCAGAAGAAAGTGCGCATGAATGGAAGTCTTAGTACTCTGTTGGACCACCTCTAGCGGGAATGCACGATGCGATACGAGCAGGCATTGAGGTGTACAAGTTCCGGAGACATCTCATTCCACAGTTGCTGTAAACATGCCTCTAGTTTGGTCATCTCGTAGGCTGTGCAACTTGCTGTCTCAAATAATCCCAGATATGCTCAATTGGTGACAAATCTGGGGACTACCAAGTCGCTTTGTTTTGTGAACATCAGTGAGCAGTTTGACGACACCATCACAGGAACACCAGTTAGTTTGCGAGATTCTTAATTCGAGCGGTTCCAGACACAATTTCGAAAAACCAAAAACAGTACGTGAAATTGGTGGAATCTGGAGGGTGGACGGGGAGGAAATCTGGAAATGTTGTGGGGTGGGGAAATTTGGTGGAAGGGTTGGGGGGAAAAATGGAATGCCTTGGAAAGAAGTTTTGTCATTGTGAAGCACGTTGTTCTCGAATGATTGCTTCATCAAACTTTCCTTACCAAATCATCGGTTGACAAAAGAAGGCCCACCCCCCGACCACTCCGAGCCTCACAGCAGTGGTGGACATTTGTTAGACCTGCATATTAAAATTCTAACCATCTTTCTCACCATTCCGATCACTGATCGGTAATTCACCGTAAAAACTCTGGTTACTGACGATAAATTGATTTTCGGGCGGTTTAACATTTTCTACACATTCAAACAATTTTAATCCGGCAAGAATCTCACAGTCAGCGGGAGGACTAGAGAACTAATTGTCTTAAACATTTGAGGGATTTGAATGTGCACAGCAGCAAACTGAAAAACACAACATAGAAGCAACCCACAACACCAAAAAATGGCGACAATTGATTGTTGGAAATTTGCTGAACATTGAAAGGTCAGTGAACACGAAATATGGTGAACAAGAAAAAGAATTAAAAAAAGGGATGTAGACTCTAGGCGCCATGCGGGTAGTTGGGATGCCTACCACAGCGCTAAAATGAAACGGTACTTAGTTTCCGAATACGCTACGTATTTCTGACTGAAGACTCCTGGGTGGTACTGCCTATCCCTAGCAAATGCAGAAGTCATTTTTCGAATGTTAGCGTAGCATTATTCAGGAAAAGTGATAAGCTTGAAGATCATCATGTAGTAATAGCTATGAGGCTAATGTGAGGCTCTGGTGAAGAAATTGTGGTCTGAATATGCCGGTAAAAGCTGGTTGGAGAAGTTGAGTCACATGATGTGAGGTTAGATTTTATACATGCTTCATATTTGACCCTGACATTATGCAGACAGAGAGAGTAGAACAGGACAGACGTCAGACAGCAAATATTGACTTTGATACTATCACACAGATTTAAAAAAATGTGTATTTCAAATAAGAGTAGATGCCCAGTAAGTTAAACTAAACCCTTTAATTAAAAAAAAATTATTATTTGTAGCTAATACTGAAAATACTGGTATTTTACCTCAGCAAATACGAGTTTAACGAAATTAAAAAATAGCACAAAGTATTGGTATTTGGTCTACCTGTGTACCGGTATTGCAGTCACTAGCCTCCGATATATTAGCACTTTGTTGAAGAGGATACATCTACTTACATGTCTTCATGACTGATAGTATGTGTACGTGATAGTGTCGTTGTCGTTACAACAATGAAGTAGGTGAGACGAGCATTTTCCTGTACATATACATTGGCCAGTTTTTCGTGCATCACCTTGTAGTAAAAGAAAATTTAGCTGCCAGTATTCTATAAAGGCACTTAAAATAATGTAAAATATAACAAAATTTGGAAAGTAGTAAAATGTTCAAATAAATGAAGACAGAGAATGTGTAGTGTGTGTATTAAAGAAAACTAAAAACTTAACATTGGGGAACAACCCTGGTTAAAGTCAAATACAAATGTACGAGGCCAATCCCAAAAAATAAGATCTCCTATATTTTTAGATATACAAAGAACTGTTTATTTTTTACAATTGCTACATCAATTTAAAGATTGAAGAATGCTTTATTTTTCAACATAATCGCCATTTTGGTCGATGCATTTTTGTAGACGCTGTGGCAGTTTTACAATGCGCATGTCATACCAGCTTGACGCAGCCCTCAGGAAGGGTTGAACCATTTTTTCACCTCATCATCAAAAGCAGAAACCCCCGTACAGACAACAAGAATCAAACGTGCATTTGTGGTCTTCTTGCAGCATATGCTGGTACCATCTGCACACACTCCGAGTATCTTATTGCAACTTTTGTTAAAATCCTGTGGAGGGTGCTTCTGGAAACCTCGTAACCAAAATGCAGAAAAAAGATCCAGAGTGCTCCTCTGATCTATGCATGAGTTCCTCACTTTCGCGTTGTTCGTCGGCATATTGACGGCTCCCGCTCCTTTCTTCTTCATTAATTCAGTAGATTGGCGTAAATGTGTCACCATTTGCGAATGTTTTTGACATCCTGATGATGTCCATACACTTCCGTCAATAGGCAGTGAATTTCAACCGGTTTAACGCCTTTTGCGTTTCAAAATCGAAAACTGCCGCATTCGCACTTGCGGTAACGTTATCGGGAGTCCATTCCGAATGGCTGCAGCCAAGACTGAGCATCCGAGCGAAGCGCCTGCGTGCTTATGTGGTAGCAGAGAAGGCACCACTCACAACAGTGTTGCCAACAACCGTATTAAAACTTTCTCTACGTCCCGAAAAAATAGGAGACTTTTTTTTTGGGATTGCCCTCGTATGTATTCTCAGCTTCCCATTAGATGTAGGCAGCAGTGTTTATTTGTAAAAGGAACTGTGACATCATATTTTTGCATACGTAGTAGTTCATCTTTGATGTTCATGAATAAACCTTGTACAGAAAAACATTCTCTGTTTATTATTATTATTACTTTGATCTAGTTTATTTAATAGAGACTTATACCTTTTTCTTCAGTTAACAAGAGTGTATAAGACAAGAGAGAGACTGGAAACAAATAACTGATTTAATTAAATCAAACTACATAATGTATTTTCTAATTGTATAATTTTAAATAGATAAAAAAAATTAACAAACATTGCACTGAAAGACTATTATTTGGTAAGCTGTTATTTGCATGAATACTATAATTTACGGCCACATGAAAAAGTATTATTTTCAAAAATTGCTTATTTTAACCATCCGAAGTTCGAACAACTTACTGCCAGCTGTTCACATTGAGGCGAAAAGTTTAAAGTTCTTGAATAATTGATAGGAATTTAGATGAAGGAAAACTCATGAAAAATTTTGTAAACTACATATCTGCAGATTCTCTTGACTGGTGTTGAAGCAGTCTTCCCCCTTGTAAAGCTGTAAGTCTCGGCAGTCTGTTCCTCAGATGGGAATGCACTGGTGAAGACTGATTTCTCACTGAAGAGGACGTCCATCCATCTGATGTTTTCTTAGGAGGTAGTTGAATGGGCCCACATTCTATAGGCCAATGAGTAAACCTAGACAGGACATCGCTGGAGCTTTCCTGGAATATTCCATCTTGTGAATCTAGTGTTTCAGAAGTCACTAACCCGAAGCCATGGTAGATTGCAGGAAAGTGGTATCAACCCTATTGGTTCTAACGGGCACATACGTCCTAAAGATTAGATTTCATTACTTATTCAGTAAGTAGAACTCGCTTTTAAACAGGTTTTTACGTTTGCAGTGTTTTTAAGGAATTAGAAAACAAATATATGTCTAAAGAAACCTGGCCTATTTGCCAAATGTGTCAGGTTGCACTTTGTAAAGACTGCTTTATGTCATCTTATACTTAACTTGTACTGTAAAAATAAAATATTCGGTACATTTCATTTAACTTTAGTATTTATTCACATACAGTATAAGGTTACTATCACAATATCCTAGACAATTACGGCAAATAGTCCCAGTTGACAATATGATTGGGACATATTGTTGTAGGAAATTTCCAGGAAATGGGAAAAGTTAAAAACTTTAAACTCATATTACACTTCTTTTAGTATGTTAACATTAAATTAAATTACTTTTCATAGTTAAATTTTGGCTATGCAAAAGTCAGGTCGAAAGGGTTAACAGGATAAACCCGCTTGATAGTTGGTCAGTGCCAACATAATGTAGTGGGATCGGTGTTCGCCGAAAACATCGCGGGCGAAAACAATGCAGGGCAAAAAGATCGTGGTACAAACATCTTGGGAGAAAAGAGAAAATATTGCAGTTCTAAAACATCCTGGTACAAAATATTGCGGTCGAAAATAAAGTTGTTCAGAAACTTCGCAATTTAAAAACATCATCGTCGAAAATATCGTGGTAAAAATGAAATACCTACAAGTTATCGCATGACGATAACATTGCACACATGCATTTTCAGGTTTTAAAAGTTGTAAATGCATTTTCATATAATGATTTGGAATGAAGTAATAAATTTTTGCTAAAAAAATAAGGAAACTTGAGCACTTAAAAATTAAATAACATAGTTAATTAACAATGGTCATTAATAAATTAACCCTTTTTTTATAAAATTTTATTGATAATTTTTTATGAAAAATATAGTCTGAAAATGCTCAGAAAAAGGAAGATAAATAACTGCATGAGGTTACCTCTATAAAAATTGCTTAGTTAGTTATCAAATTATTTTCTTTTACATTTGTTAATCTGATATTGTTTCTGTTTATTTTTGTGTTTTTAACATTTTCATGTATAGCTTCCAATCAATTTTTTGGATGTCGATTTGTTAGCTATGTCGAAAGTCAATTACATAATATATCAGTATGGGATTTTATCGTCATGTGATGATTTGTATGTACTTTATTTTTCACCGCAATATTTTCAATGATGATGTTTTTAAACTGCAAAGTTTTTGAACAGCTTTATTTCCGACCACAATGTTTTAGAACTGCAATATTTTCTCTTTGCTTTCTTTTCTCCTGCGATGTTTTGTACCACGACGTTTTCGCCCTGCACTGTTTTCTCTGCAACGTTTTCGTCCGCGATGTTTTCAGCTGTAACCAATGGGATTACTATATACCTTAACACACCTAACACATTAGGCATACTTCAGAGAATTGGAGATTATTTCCGTGCACATGTTGAAAATATGCTTTTTCGAGCATACATTCTCTTTTAAAGGGTGGAGGCTGCAACATTCAACCCCAGAAAGGGTGAGAAATTTTGGCATTTTTGCCAATAGCAAAACAATATGAACCCCCCTTCAATTCAGCACATTCCATCTTTAATGCTAACCATGCCCCCTACCCAAAAAAAAACTATTTTTGCACCAAAATTTCTTGAGATTGACTGGAAGAGTGGGCATAAAAAACCATAAAATCTTAAAACAGCATCATAAAGTTGATTTTTAAAGTTGACTCAGTTCAGTTTGTGAAATGCAGCTCAAATAAAACAGATTACTGCTCTGATTATATTTTTATTGTACTTCATGTGCTATATATTCAGTCAGTAGTCAGCATATTTACTATTATATAAAGTTCTATTTGTTTTGCTCTAAAGTTATGAGACATCTTTCTACCATAAAATACATGATTTCCAGAAATTCTTATATTCTGGCCTAATTTTTTTTTTTTTTTTTCATTCTTCATTTTTTTAAAAATTCGTCTGGACTCTTAAGAATACTTTTGGCTTTATAAAATGCCATTGAGCTTTCCACTGCCACCATATTGACATTTTGTTTTGTATTTACAGTTTTTAAACTTTTATATTTGTATATAAGTACATTATTTACTATTTTTAAGAATGTTTTTGGTTTGTTTTAAGCAAGATTCAAGCAATAACATATGCTTTTTTTAATATACAAATAAAAATAGTATTTTTCATATTATTTGTCTATATTTGGCTGTCGCTGATATTTTTAATGCTTTATGTAGCTGGCTTTATTTATTCATTATAGTTATGTAATTATATGTTGGCACTGTTCATTCTAGCAGATTTGGAGCCTTTATATTTCAAGAATGAATCTTAGATTTTAATTATTAAAATAAATAATAAAAAATAAAACAATTTATTTACCTAATCTTGAAAAGCTTTTTTTTTTTTTTTTTTTTTATCTTTCATAATTGGCAGGATGCAAATGACAACATTTTAAAGAAAAAAATTAATTAAAAAAAAGAGGAGGATCATGCAAAATTGTAGCTCTTTAGGAAGTAGATACAATTTCACCTGCAGGTGACTGTGTGTATATTGTTCATGAATAGCACTGACCTACAGTGCTACAAATCATCAGCAACTACATCAGCATGCAAGGTAATATTTAACAGCACATCAAACATTTCTGTGTATGGAGCTTCTTGGCCTCTGATGTAATCAGATCTCAGTGCTAACTGCACTAGCTTAATAACAGTTCATATCCAGGGTACACCAGTAGTGATACATTGAGATGTGGATGATTCAAATGCATCACCTATTTTGACAAATCCAAACTGTTAATGCATGATATAAACATTTGAGCATATTATATGCTGAATACTATCGGTGGTATGGCACTTGCATACCTAAAATATAGGCAGGTCTCTAACGCTGTGATTTTCTAGAGGGCATCGGCTAAGTGATCCCCACAAACAAATATAGTGTATTTTATTTTATGTTGTTATATGTTATGTGTTTACTTTATATAGAATGACAACTATACTGATAGCCTATAGGGCTGAAGCCATGCCTGTCAGTTGAAGAATATATGATGTTGTGGGTGATGTTTTTATGGGAATGAAGCCTATTAACCAAGTGGAACAAACTCTAATAACTGTCAGACATTTGAACTAATTACTCATTAATGTCAATTGTGCTGTTTGTGGACAATCATATCAGACTTCATATGCTATGGTCATCATCATGAATGCTGCAAGGATCATCAGAGTGTGGTCCGATGATCATGATAGTTAATTTCATTAAATGCCATGGCTTTCAGTTCTATCAGTCATGAATTTAATCAAATATTTAATTCATATTGGGGAAATAGTTTTCCCTGCACCATCATCTCTTTCCCAAACTCTATAGAAACTGGAAGACCTGCTTTTAAGACATTAGTACCACATTACTAAGATAGCTATTTTGTTTTCACGGCTGCTGTTTTTGGGCCGAAAGAGGCTCAGTACCTGAGGTAAATAGCCATCATATAATTATTCTTTGGTGTATATGAAACTTAAGTGTATGTGGTATAAAAAGGAGCAAATTTCCCATACCAAAAACCACTTTCTCGTAGTAATTCGAGAAATCATAACTTTAATTGATGATGATGTATGTAATTAATCAGAGTAGTGGAAAGTTGAGTGTCATTTATTTCAAATACATATAAAATAAGGACTCAGTATTGAAAATAATTTTTTATGGATATACATATAGCAGTCCCCCTTTTTCTGTGCACATACATGTGTGTGGATGTAGGCAGACAGGTAGGTAGATACATAGGCTACATCTAAATTTGTGGATAAACATAACTGATATTTTATTGCAGCAGGAAGTGTCATTGCAGCGGGAAGTGTCTTAAGTTTAACCTCTGGTTTAGATATATTAAATGTTTTAGTAATATGAATGTGGAATACATTATGCCCCTTTTAAATCTACTGTATATGTATATTTTATATGGCAGTATTATGTTTTAGGTACATTAATAAAAGTATACTATATTATATATATATATATAATATATTATATATTTTTTTTTTTTTTTAGCTTTGGATATTTTTAACAGAAAATGATACTAAATTGTTTGATATTAAGTGGATTTGTTCACAAGTTAGTGCTACTTTCTCAGTGGTTTTCAAAGGAACGAAAATTTGCTTTTTACGGTAGTTCATTATTATTTGTGTATGAAGGCATTACATCATCTTGGACCAAGTGGATTCAAAGTAATATAAGGAACATTCATAGTCCCCAATGCGATAAAGCAAATTTAGAAACATCTATATCAGATGTGGAGAAAAATAAAGTTTATCTTCTACCTAAATGCTTCTGTATGGAAGTTTCAGATATTTGTGATGTATGCAATTTGAGCAAAAATGTGTGTTTAAAAATTCAGTCTACTTGTTCTTTGTTCCGCATTGTAATGATTGATTTTGCTCATACTTTTTCATGTTCTGAAGAGGATTCAAACTATATTTTTGGTCTCAATAATCTTATTCAAAAACTTAAGGATCTACTGAAGCTCAATATTAATTCAATCTTGTAAGCAGTTTTTGAAATTTGTAAAAATATGAATTTTTACTCTTCAGGATTTATACTTAAATGTAAAAATAATTTTAAGTAAAATTTATGTATGAATAAATATTTCTATATATGTATATATATATAATTTTTACTTTTTGGATTTAATAAATTACTATTAAACTTGTGTTTTAAAATCTTCAATTTTGTGTTGTTGATAATACAGAATGGATAGGCACTTCTTTCATGCGAGTTGAAATAGATAATAAAATTAGTATCATTAATATTTCTTATAATAGCCAAATTCAAATCATAAAGATACCTTTTTTGCAGACTATATATACCAGATAAGTCAAAATGAATATAGCGATTACAAATGGCTACTTTAAAATTTTGCATACATACATCATAGATGTTCTATGTGACTTCCCTTGGTCACATGGACAACATCTAGGCGGTAGTCCATTTCACGCCATACATTCTGAAGCATTTGTTCAATCACCAATGCAAGCGCATTATTATGCATACTTTGAGTTCTTCAGTTGTTTGGGGCATGAGAGGCTAAACACCCTGTCTTTCACATAACCTCATAGAAAAAAATTGCAGGGTGTCAAGTCTGGAGATCTCATGGCCAAGAGTAGAAGACATCGTCAGCAGCTCCACTTCAACCGATCCAACACTATGGAAGATGTTGATTTAAAAATCTATGAACCTTTGTACTCCAGTGTGGGGTGCTCCATCTTGCTGAAAGGTGTAATCTGTG